TTAGCGCGCCCTGGGGGTGAGGCCAGCACGACAGGCTGGGGACTGAACCTCTGACCCCAGGCGCTGTAGTCCATTGAACTATCTGGCCAGCCCCAGGCTGGATTTGAATTTGCAATGATCTTCCTACCTTAGCCTCCCGAGTAGTGGGATTACAGGTATGTGCCACCATTCCCAGCCAAACTCCTATTTTCTGCCTTGTACACATGTGGAAAATGTAAATTAACAAATGTTAAATGCTAACATGGTGAGGCCGGGGAGATGGCTCAGTAGAATAAGTGCTTGCCTGGCAAGCACAAGGGCCTGAGTTCAATCCCCGGTTCCGCCAAAAAAAAAAAAAAAATGCTAACATGGCACAAAAATGGGCTTGGTAAATACGTTGGTTTTTTTTTTTTTTTTTTTTTTAATTTTTAGGGAAGGGTTTACAGGGTGTTCAGGGTCTTATTACTAGTTTGGACTTGTAGTGATCCACCTGTTTACAGCCTCCTAAGAGCTGGGATTACAGGCACAGGCCAGCACACCAGTCTGGATAGCTGTCTCAATGCGCCCTGGGGCCTGGCTTTAATCTGCTGAGCTATTTGGCTGGCCCTGTCGGTTTTCTTTTTAATTCTTTGTGTGTAGGGGGGTGTAGTGAAACAGGGTGTCACTTATACAGGTCAAGCTGACTTCCAACCCATGGTGATTTTTTTTTTTTTTTTTTTTTTTTTTTTGGTGGACCTGGGGATTGAACTCAGGCCCTTGCGCTTGCCAGGCAAGCACTTATTCTACTGAGCTATCTACCTGGCCCCACCAATTCTTAAGAGAATTGAGAATCAAGATGGTTCCAGAATTGAACAGCTGTGGGGTATATAGCTCAGTAGCACAGCACCAGCCCATGGTCCTGAATTCGTTTCCTTGTACCTCCCCCGCACCAAAAAAAAAGAATTGAGTAGCTAGCTGGGTGGAGTAGTGGCCAACAGCAGGCAACATCCAGGGAAAAACTGAGATTGAGGCTCCTTTTCAGTAGGAGACAGAAAAGTTGTGGGTTGGGGAGGGGATATCAGAGTGGAACTGAGAGGAGGCTGCTGGTGAGAAGTGAGGAGCACCAAGCTGGAGGTGAGGAAGAATGAGGTCAGAAGTCTCCCTCCTCAGCCTCCCACTCACTTATCACCAGGTACAACAAAGCCTACAGGCCACTGGGCTCACGGGTGACCTGGACGCAGACCAGGGACTGACTCTCAGCCGGAAGGTCCGCCGGGCCCAGCTTGCTCACTACAATTTCCAGTTTGGTAAGAGGGGGTCCACCAGGGACTTCAGATCCAGCCCTGTTTCTTTCAGCTGCACTGTGTCCCCTTTCTCTTCTGTCTATTATGCTTGCCTGTGTGCAGGGTGGGTGCACTGGGGCTCCTCACTCATCTGAGGAAGCCTGACTTGTCCTCTCCATCCATTCACACTGCCCCCCCACCTCTGCCCCTCTCCATAGTTTCGTTCTGGGTTAACCCCACCATAAAGGGTTTCTGTTTAATTAACTAGCCAAGGGGCATCAGAGAGAAAGGACCAGAAAGGTTGTCATTAATTAGCCTTGTTTACACCTAGGTGGGTGAGTCAGCCCTGAGGGATGAGAGAATTTTTTTTTTTTTTTTTTTTTTTATGCTGGGGATTGAATCCTGGGTCTTGCACACAAATGTTCTCTCACTGAGCTGCATCCCCAGCTCCCACCCTCTTTATGGCACTGGAGATTGAACCCAGGGCCTTTGCTCTGAGCTGTATTTCCAGCCTTTTTCTCTAGATAGGTTCTGACTAGGTTCCTTGGAGTGACCTTTAAGTTTGCGGTCTTCCTGCCTTCTGAGCAGCTGGGACTGCAGGAGCGCTCTGCCATCAGCCTGCATCTAGTTCTGCACCACTTGCCTGCCTGCCTGCACCTAGCACAAGCTGCCCCAGAGGCCCATGGGCTTGCATTTATATGCCAGCCCTGCTGGGTTCCCTTTCCCTTGTTGCTCCTGCCCAGTCACATATGGTTTCTTTTTGTCTCATTCTTGATCTGTCATTCTCTGACATCTTTCTGACCCTTCGGTTGCTGACCAGAAATGATAAGGTGTGGAAGCCTCAGACATTTCCTTATCTGTTCAGGATGAGCAGTGAGCCGGAGACCAAGCACAGCTAAATGTATTCCCCTTTAAGCCATATGCAGGCTCTTCCCCCACCCTTCCTAAAGATTTGAGTCTTAAGTTTCTACAAAGGGAAAGGAAATAGCCCATGTCCGTGAATTTGCCCTGAGATTCCTAAACCTCCTTTCCTCTTCCTGCAGTTGTTGGCCAGAAAGAGCAGAATAACAGAACAGTGAACATACGGACTCGAGACAATCGCCAGCTTGGGGAGTGGGACTTGACCGCGGCCGTGCAGAGGCTGCTGGAGCTGCAGAGCGCCAGGGTCGCTAACGCTGAGGAAGTTTTCTGAGCCTTCGCTGGTAGATAAGGCGGAGATCTGTGCGAGCCTCCAGCTTTTCCTCATGCAACCCAAGTGTAGTGCAGAATCCTCAGAACTGTGTGTGTGCACTCTAAGGGGACTTTGTTTTGGGGTCTTCCAAAGGAAGGAAACTAGGGTGTGGATGCGAAGAGTAAAATGAAAAAATAAAGAAGAAAAGCATTAAAAAATAAATAAACTTGAAGCTGTAAGGTATCTCTCCATCTCTGACTTCTAAGAGGCAGTTGAAACAAAGCACCACTATCTCCCCCTTTCATTTATTTTTATTTTATTTATTTATTTATTTTTTTGCAGAACCGGGGATTGAACTCAGGCCCTTGTGCTTGCCAGGCAAGCACTTACTCTACTGAGCCATCTCCCCGGCCCCCATTTATTTGTTTTTTGAGACAGTATTTTCTTGTGTATTCCCAACTGGCCTCACTCACTTCATGACCCTCCTGCCTCAGCCTCCCAAGAGGTGGGGTTACAGGCATGTGCCTGGCTCTGGCCCTCTTTTGTCCCACAGGTTGTTACTGAGACAATGGTTGTATTCTTCTATGCTTAACTCCTTAGTACCCTGTTCCCCAAACCAGTTTAGTAGGTTGTGGGATCCCTTTTTCACAGAAGTAAGGTGCAAATGGAGGAGCTCAAATGTCTCCTGCCCCATGATTCTGAGTCAATTTCTCCTCGGGTCATACAGATGCTCCTTTTGCCTCCTTCTGAATCCTCAGAAGGCTCCCAGTGAGTTTGGGAGGAGTGGCTGCTAGAGGTGGAGCAGCCCGCACTGAGTCATGGCAGGAAGCTGAAGAGGGCGAGAGAGCACCAGGCAGCATATAAAAGGGAGCCGGCCCTGGAGTTCACAACAGCAGTAAGAGCTACCAGAGCAGCAGGCTTCCAGGAGCCCCGCACTCCAAATCCAGGTCTGCTCCAGACAAGCCAGCTTCCAGGGCCCAGCATGGGGGCCATATCCCGGGCAGCCGTGATCTTGGCCTTTTTGGCAGTCGCTTCTGCAGCCTCTGAGGGAGGTGAGTAGAGGTGGGGTCAGCACTTGGAAGTAACCTGGCTCTCTTTTCAGCTGGCCCAAGGGGGGGCCTGTAGCAATGGAGTATTTAGGAGGAAAGTGGGAGAACAAAGAGGAGTCCTAGAGATTGCTGCTAAGAAACTGAAAATTGAGCTGAAGTAGACAGCTGAGCAGGAGGTGAACACAAAGAACCTCTGCCTAGGGAAGATGTAGGTGAGAGGGCTGTGGGGCTGGTGAAGGGACCCTCCTCCTCCCTGCTCAAAACCAATTTCCTGAGCAGGATGTAAAGACACACACTCAAGGCTGAGGCAGGAGGGCTGCCACAAGTTTGAAGCCAGCTTGGGTATAGTAGTTCAAGGCCAAAATGAGCTATATAGCAAAACCTTGTCTCAGAATCTTAAAAAAAGAAAATCAGTTTGCTGAGCCCTGGAGCTAGAGGAAGAACTAAGTGGGGCACTCACAAACTACATCCTCTATGGATCGGGTGTGAACCCTGCTTTGTAGTCTGAACAGAACAAACTCCCGGATGGAGACTTGTGAGAATATCAACACAGAGCCCACGGTTTGGTAAAGCCTTACGGTTGTCGCCCCTCCCAGTTCCTAGGCTTTTGTGCTTGCGGATCAGTTACAAGTGATTCCTTTCGTCTGTGCTTGGCCCAGTCGCCCAGGTTCCAAATTGAGAACTAAGTTTAGGAGGAGCTAAACTTTGTGTTAAGTTTCAGTGTCCAATTTAAAGGGCACTGAAATCCTACTAAAAAGCTGAAAGATGTTTAATGTGCCTAGAGTAGGGCCAGGGGTGGAGGGCTGGGCAGATAATGCCCTGGGCAGCTCAGGTCAGACTTCTCAGAAAGCTAAAAAGCATCACAGGCCAGGGATATAGCTCAATTGCACAGAACCTGCCTGGTAAGCGCAAGGTCCTGAGTTCATTTCCCAGTACAAAAAAAAAAAAAAAAAAAAAAATCACAGAGCAGCTGCTGAGAGGACACCACAAGCCCTACAGAGAGCTGCTGGCAGGAGATTATCCTGTCCTTCACCCCATGTCATTACTCTTTAGGTTCAGCTCCTGGCCCAAGCTTTCTTAGCCACATCTAGGTGACATGGGGACAGGCACAATCTAGTAGGGATGGTTCTCATGTCTTGGTTTGTTTCCTACACTGAGCCTCCAATTTCACCATCCTTTGCTCAAGGCCAGGAAAGACTCGCTCAAAACTATACCTGACTTGTCCTCTCTCTCCCAGGCTTCAAGCTTACAAGACAGAGAGAACTGAGGCCAGTACGTTCCACCCAGCTCTTTGAAGAAGGTAAGAGCCAGGCACTGTTGATGCGTTCCCGCAATCTTGGCTATTATGGAGACTGAGGCAGTACAATCAAAAGTTTGAGGCCAGCCTGAGCACTTAACTAGATCTTGGCTCAAAATAAAAAGGGAGGAAAAAGCCTGGGGTGTAGGTAAGTGGTAGAATACTTGCCTAACACGAGGGTCTGGGTGCCATCCCAGTACCACCAAAAAGAGGGAAGATGAAAGTTTAACAGTGCAAAATGGGATTGGGAGTCCAGGAGAAGCTGCAGGCTCTCTCTCCTGTCTCTAGTTGGCTACGCAGAACCCCCATCCCCACCCCTGAGCTGGAGCCAGGGCTTCCCGGAGGGCCACCATCACTCTTCTCAGCATGGCCCGCGCTTTGAGGGACAGACAGAAGGTAAGACCACAACTACCTCTCAGCTTTCTACCAGAGCCTTCTTCATATTGTTCAGAGAGGCAGAGTGGAGCAGCCCAGCCCCTCTCCCACCTGGTAGAATAGCCACTTCTGTACCCCCTCTTTTGCCACTTTCCTCCCCTGGGCCCTGTTGAAAAGAAAAATGAGCCAGGCTCATTCCCTGCCTCTTCCCTGTCAGCTCACTGCCATCTCACACGCTGGGCTTCGTGTGATCCACACCCTTTGTGTCCTCTCCCCTGTTTTACAGTGAACTTCCCCCCAGTCCCTCAGGAAGAGATCCCCCTCCAGCAAGAACAGCGCCCTCCCCAGCACTTTGATGAAAAGAAAGGTGAGCACATGTTCATTCCCAGCCTCCAACCCCACAAGCGTGCTGGCGCTGTCTCACCTGCACCACTTGTGTCCTCACCCCCGTCTTCCAGTGGGCACCCCTGTCTCTCAGGAAGAGATCCCTCTCCAGCAAGAGCTGCCCCCTCCCCATCAACTTACTGGACAGAAAGAAAGTAAGCAACTCCCTCTATTCTGTAGTCCCTTCACCCCAGGTCGTACCCCAGAGGCAGGCAAGCTGGTGGCCGTGCCACATACCAGCTTTGTCACCTCAGAGGACTTTTATCTTTTATTTTATTATTTTTTTGCAGAACGAGGGATTGAACTCAGGTCCTTGTGCTTGCCTGGGACGTGCTTATTCCACTGAGCCACTTCCCTGGCCCCCACCTCAGAGGACTTAGTTGCCTCTCTAAGCCTAAATATCATTTTGTTTGTTTGTTTGTTTGTTTTTCCAGAACTGGGGATTAAACTCATAAGCCTAAATGTCTTCATCTGTAAAATTGAAAACACAATAGCTATCTGATGTTTCTGTGATTAAGTGATATGAAGATTGTTTCTATTCTTACTTGCCTCTCTGCTGAGTTCCTCTTTATGGCTGAGACTAGTCTAATGCCTGTCACCCATACTAAGAGAATTTTCACTTATGCTTCTACCCCAGTGGGCTTACCCCTCACACACCAGGAGGAGATAGTCCAGTCCAGGCAGACAGAGGGTGAGTGACAGTGTGGGACTTCCTATCCCCTGCCTGCATGCTTGGCCCCTGGGGAGAGGAACTGGCACCTGAGCATCCGGCAAAGGAGCAGGGTCAGCTCCAAGGTGACCCCTTTCATGCTTTTATTCTCCTTTCTAGACAGTTATCCAAAAGGTAAGGACACAGATTAATTTCTTGCTGGCTTCCCCTATGTCCTCCCAACCTTTTCTCCTCATTCTAACTCCTTTAGTCTTCCTTGCTTCTCCAGCCTATGTGGAAGCCTCCACATCCACACCTCACTGTTTTCTCCCTTCCAGAAAAGCCTGGTTCCCTCACTGGTCAGAGACCTTCAGATCCTCAGTCCTGGAATCCAGCCCAGCATTGCCAGCAAGGCCGATTCCGAGGGGGCTGGGGCCACCGGCTGGACAACTTCCCCCCGGGGCGGCCTTCTGCAGACAATCTCAACCAAATCTGCCTCCCGGGCCGACAACCTGTGGTATACGGCCCGTGGAACCTGCCCCAGACTGGCTACTCCCACCTTAGCCGCCAGGGTGAGACCCTCAATTTGCTGGAGACTGGCTATTCCCGCTGCTGCCGCTGCCAGAGCACCACACACCGCCTGGAGTGTGCAAAACTTGTGGTAAGGGTTGGGATCCCGGTGCCTGGGGTGGAGGACCCTCAGAGCCATGTGTTGGCCCTATCATGTGGCTCCAGGTCAGGAGAGCAGAGGACAGCTGCTGCTGCTGCTGCTCTTACTTAGCTGCCAGGGATCTTTATTGGACCCTGGAGGAAGGCAGGGATGTGGGCGTGGGGCTTCTGGGCTGACCCACCCCTCTTGCTCTAGTGGGAGGATTCCATGACCCAGTTCTGTGAGGCCGAGTTCTCGGTCAAGACCCGACCGTACTCCTGCTGCAAGCAGCAGGGGGAAGCCCGGTTTGCCTGCTTCCAGGAGGGAGCTCCTCAGCCACACTACCAGCTCCAGGCCTGCCCCAGCCACCAGCCTGGTATTTCTGTGGGCCTGGAGGTACCCTTTCCCCCTGGGCTACCCACACTGGACAATGTCAAGAACATCTGCCACCTGAGACGTTTGCGTTCTATGCCACGCAACCTCCCAGCTACTGACCCCATCCAAAGGCAGCTACGGGCTCTGACGCAGCTGGAGGTTGAATTCCAGCGCTGCTGCCACCCGAGGAGCAACCATACCTGTGCACAGAAGGCTGTAAGTGATGTCCCGGCCTGCCTGGCTCTGACCTCTGAGTCCACTGATCCATCCACCCATGCGCCTCCCTGTTGTGAGCACGTGCACGTCCGTCTGCTTGTGATTATCCATCCATACGTCCGTCCATGTGTCTGTTATGAATCAGTTCATCCGAGCCTACATGCTACAGTTCTGACCTCGTCCATCCACAACCCCATGAACACCATGCATCTGGCTGCCACCCATCCGCCTGCTCTGCCTCGCCTGTCCCTCTCCAACCACTGTTCCAGTGCATGTCAGTGGCCACCTCCAAATGTAGTCTGTGCTTCCTCCCATCCACTGCATCCCAATCCCCACACTGCTGCCTCCTGGCCCTCAGGTTCTTCACCTTCCCTCTGGCCCGAGGCCAGAGCCCTTGTCTCAGAGCTGGGCTGTTAAGGGAAGCAGACCATGGGAGAAGGGGCCAAGGGCGCAAGCTTCTTACTTTTCTCTCTCACCACAGTGGGAGGATGCCCTGGACCAATATTGTGACTGGGAGCAGGCCATAAAGACCCACCACCACACATGTTGCCACTACCCACCCAGCCCTATGCGTGATGAGTGCTTTGCCCGGCGAGCCCCCTACCCCAACTATGATCAGGACATCTTGACCCTTGATCTCAGCCGAATCACCCCCAATCTCATGGGCCATCTCTGTGGAAACCAAAGAGTTATCAGCAAGCAGTGAGTTTTGCCCAATTCTTCCCCAACATTCTTGCTTTCCACTCCTCCCTTCTGGTCCACAAGTCATGACAAGTGTCAGTGATGTGATCAGTGCTGTGGTATGGGGTGGCCCAGATGCCTGTGTGCACTTACAGAGAAAACTCATAGTCCCCATACCATTCCAATGCCAGGGTATGTTCAGAGACCCTCACCCCTGCTTATTCCACAACATAGTAAACAGATTCCTGGGCTGATCTGGAACATGACCGCCCGTTGCTGTGAGCTGCCATTTCCAGAACAGGCCTGCTGTGCTGAGGAAGAGGTGAGCTCTGGGGAAGAGGTCCCAGTCCGCAGAGGAATGTATGGGAGTTGGGGAGAGGGCTAGGGCTTCAGGCTGTTCTTCTCTGTTGTACCTTCAGTCAACCCCAGAAAAATCTATTTCCTTGGTTCCTGACCTAGCCTGCTCCCCACTCCTCTAAGTTCCAATTATGCCTTCTCTGGGTGTCAAGCTTCTGGCATTTCCACATGTGCACATCTGTCAGTTACAAGGAATCCAGCTGTGAAGTCAGCCCTACACTTTTAGGGTCCCAGGTAGGGATCCAACATGAGAACAGGAGCAGATGATGAGAGGAGGACATTATACATCCAGATATTGATGCCTGACTTCTGGATCCCCCCACCAATACCTCTGCTTTATTGTTCTCCATCAGAAATTAGCCTTCATTGATGATCTCTGTGGTCCCCGGCGGAACTTCTGGAGAGACTCTGCCTTGTGCTGTGACCGGAGGCCTGGGGATGAACAGACCAACTGCTTCAACATCAACTATCTGAGGAACGTGGCTCTAGTGGCTGGAAACACTGGGAATACTAGTGGGGAGCAGGGTCCAACAGGGAGAACCAATGTCAGCCCTGCCCCTGAGTCCAAGAAAGAATGAGTCACTACATAGACTTGGAGGATCAGACTGGGGAGCCCTGCCCCACCCTCTTTGAACATATTATAGTAAACACCTCCTGGATCTGGCGTCCTCATTGTCTGTCACACACAAACACACCCTCCAAAGCCGTGAGGATTTCCCTCAGTGACTAGCCCCAGGCCCAAGTCCTGCTGTGAGCCAAAAGAAGCCATTCCCCTAATCAAACTGTAACTGCACTACTTAACTATCTGTCCTGACCCTGTTCACACATGTAACAAGGAGCGTCACCTCATTATCAGGATTTACAGTGAAAAAGATACTGTTTGTATCCTTGATGAACCCAGAAAAATGCCATAGGCCAGCATAGTATTTTATGTCTTTTGCAGTTGGGATCACACTGAGGGCCAAATGAAGGTTAAGCACACATTCTACACTGAGCAGTCCAGCCTCTGCTGTATTTTATTATTTTATTTTTGAGTGTCACTATGTAACTCAAGCAGCCCTCAAATTCAAGGTGGTCCTCCTGGCTCAGCTTCTACAGCACTGGGGTTACAGGCATTCCCCATCACACCTAGCGGCAGCCCGTTTAAAATCTTCGCTTTTGATCCCTGGAGCCATGCACTGACCCGCACTGCATCCATTTCTTGACCCTCTGTTCCTCTGTGCATACTGTACAAGACTTGGAGGTTACGTGTCTTAAAAACATAGCCCTGCCCTTAAGTTAGTCACGGTCCACGAGCTGTGACAAGTGTCGTGATGTGATCAGTGCTGTGGTATGGGTTGGTCCAAATGCCAGTGGCCTGAGCAGGACAGGCCCCAGCAGTGATGCACCAAGTGAGGCCAGAGCTGCACAGAAGGGCGAAGGGGGCTGCACTCTCCCCTTGCTTGGGACTGGGGCTGAGGTTGAGCACACACTGGAGGCTTCAGGCTGAGGATGTGCCCCCGTTTGCTGCTCAGAGCTTCTGTTGGCAGTCAGCCCTCACCACGGGCATCGTACCCGTCACCAGGGAGGGGAACAGAGCTAAAGGGCAGCTGGGGACAGGGCCCTGGAGCCTCAAGGGTAGGAATGAAGACTCGGCCGGCCAGCAGGGTGCAGATCCCGGTGACCCTCCTGTCAGGACGCCTTTGCAGAAAGACAGACTTCCTGACCCCTGTCGGGGGAAGTGGTGAACCTAGTCAGCGCCAAGCTGAGCCTCAGCAGTTTCCAATCCCACACCCGCCGCTACTTCCCCGTCTCCGCCACAGCCCTCTATTTTCTGGCCAGTTATCGCCCTATCGCTATTTGGCGGACTCCATCTGTCCGTCATCACGAACACCAATGAGCGGGCAAAAGGAGGCTCAGAACCCGCCCCCACCCCGAAAGCTCCGCCCCCCGCGCTAGGGCCTCCGGGCGTCACGTGCTACTGCCCTGAGCGCCTGCGCGGCCTTCTGCAGGGGAAGCGCTGTCCCATTCCACTGGGAGTGGGGGGCGGAGCCTTTGGTCGGGGTCCTAGCTCGGTGGAGGCAATTAGCCGACCCGAGCATCTGCTTTTAAAGGGCAATGGGAGGTGCTTGACGGCTCCCGGCAAAGGCTGAAGGGAAAGGAGCAGAGTTAGGCGTGTGCGCCCGCTGTCCCCAGCAGCCACGGTGAACAGGCATAGTAAAGTACAGGTCCGAGCCAGGCATGGCGGCACACAGCTGTGATCTCAGCACACGGAAGGCTGAGGCAGGACGAGGGTGCTGTGTGAGGCCAGCCTGAGCTGCATAGAAAGACCCTGTGTGAGAAAACCAAAATAAATAAATTTTTAAAAAAGGGGGGGATAGGGAGATGGCTCAGTGGAATAAGCGCTTCCCTGGCAAGTGCAAGGACCTGAGTTTAATCCCCGGTTCCACCAAAAAAAAAAAAAAGCTGGTGGGGCTGGTGAGATAGCTCAGCATTCTAAAGCACCTGTTTAGACAAGTTTAGGCAGCCGCAGGGGACCGCGGTTCGATCCCCCATCCCCGCACCACGTTCCACCCAGCACCACCCTCAGGGCGGGCTGAGCCAGCCAAATAAATAAATAAAATAAAGAGCTGATGATGTAGTTCAGAGTGTTGGGCCTAGTTTCAATGCCCAGTGAGTGGGGGTAAAGATTGACAACCCATTTAAATGCTAGTGGAAAAGTCTAAAATAACTCCCTAGTTTGAGGTTTGGGTAACAAAGTAAGTGTTATGTCTTCCCAGATCTTGTGTTGACATCCTCCTCCATTGTGATATTAGGAGGAGGCCTCAAGAATTGGATCAGTGCTGTTATAAAGGTAACCAACCTCCAAACTTCAAATGGTGGGGAACTCCTGCGGGCCTAGCTGGTTGGCTGAAGCAGAAGGATTGCAAATTTCAGGCCAGCCTGGGCAAGTTAGTGAGAACCTGTCTCAAGAATACAGGAGCTCCGGAGATATAGCTCAGTGGCACAGCTCCTGCCTGGCAGGCTTGAGGTCCTGAGTTCCATTCCTGGTACCAAAAAGAAAAAAGAGGGGCCGGGGAGATGGCTCAGTGGAATAAGCACTTCCCTGGCAAGCTCAAGGGCCTGAGTTCAATCCTCCGTTCTGGGAAAAAAACAACAACAACAAAAAAAACCTAGTAGGGGGTGTAGCTCAGGGGTAGATAGCATCAGTTTACCAGATCAGAGGCCCTGGATTTCAAGCCCTAGCAAACACACAAGACTTTTCTACCTTAAAATGAGTTGATGATGGGGACCGGCAAGATAGCTCAGTGGACTGTGGTTCAATAACTGGCACCAGGGGCCGGGGAAATAGCTCAGTTGAATAAGCACTTGCCTGGCAAGCACAAGGGCCTGAGTTCAATCCCTGGCTCTGCAAAAATAAATAAATAAATAAATAAATAAATAAATAAATACATACATAAATAACTGGCACCGCATGCCCCTTCGGCCCAGCCACCAGGGCAGGATGAGCCAGCCACAAAATAAAATAAAATGAGTTGATGAATAGGATTACTTGAGGGGCCAGGGAGGTAGCTCAGAAGCATAAACAAGGGCCTGAATTCAATCCCAGGTTCCACCAAAAAAAAAAAAAGATTACTTGAGCTTTTTTTTTTTTTTTTTTTTGCGATACCAGTAAATGAACTCAGGACCTTGCACTTGCCAGGCAGGCACTTATGCTACTGAGCTATCTCCCCAGCTGCAAGATTACTTCACCTTTGTGCTGATACAAGTTTGACCTTATTTCTTCTAGAAATATTTGATAGAAGTGAAAGCAGAGACCACCACCAACTGAAACTGGACAACTGTGGATGAACTGCACAGCCAGGCTCCTGGGGGAAACCACCCCTCAGCTCCCTTAGGAGACTCACTGCTGTGTGCCTGGCCGCGTGTGGGACTGCTGTGCGCTTCCTGCACCTAGATCAAGTTCAGTCCCTGTCATCACTGCTTTTGCTTCTGTAACCTCATTTCAGGCTGATTTCCAGTGAAAAACTGCCCTGGAGGATGCAAACAATATAAAAGTGGAAACAGGGCTTTGTGCTCCACACTGGTGGACTGCAGTCCTCTGGAGAGATGCTGGCAAATACACTGCTCTTGGTTCCTGAGATTTTATGTCTTGGGGGCTTTGTTGGGGTCCTGTGCAGTCTCTTGCTTTGAAAGTTGCTCAGAAGTACCTCCAGGTACAGGCCTGGAATGTGCCTTGATATTTTTTTTTCTCTGCCTTAATATTTTTTTTAAATTTATTTTTATTTTTTGGCTGGCTCCGAATGCCTTCAGGGCAGGTTTGAGTCCTGGGGATCGAACCACAGCAACCTGAGCCTGACTGCTTTGTTAAAGCAGCCACTTAAAGAATTGAGCTAAGGGGCAAACTGGTGGGTTTTTTTTTTTTTTTTTTTTGTGGAACTGGGGATTGAACTCAGGCCCTTGCACTTGCCAGGGAAGTGCTTATTCCACTGAGCCGTCTCTCCAGCTCTGTGCTTTAATATTTTTAAATACTACCATACCATGTTGGGTTGCTTTATGGTTTTGTTTTGTCCTGTTTTTAGTTTTAGTTTAGTTTTTTTGTTGTTGTTTGTTTGATATAGGGCCTTGCTGTGGAGTTCAGGCTGACCTGGAACTCACTATGGAGCTCAGGCTAGCCTGGAACTTACAGCCATCCTCCTGCCTCAGCCTTCCCTGGGGTGAGAGGTCATTTCACTTAACATGTAACACCCACTTAAAGCATATGATTAGGGGCTGGTGAGATGGCTCAGTGGTCTAAAGCACCTACTTAGAACAAGCATAAGCTTCGCAAAGCACAGGGACCGCGGTTCAATCCCCCAGCACCACATGCCAGCCAGCCCCACCCCCTGGTGGGCTGAGCTGGCCACACACACACACACACACAAATAAAATAAAAACACTTTTTTTTTTAAATTTTATTTATTTATTTTTTTCATTGTGTGTGTGTGTGTGTGTGTGTGTGTGTGTGGCCAGCTCAGCCCACCAGGGGGCGGGGCTGACTGGCATGTGGTGCTGGGGGATTGAACCGCGGTCCCTGTGCTTTGCCAAGCTTGTTCCAAGCAGGTGCCTTAGACCACTGAGCCATCTCTCCAGCCCAATAAAAACACTTTTAAAAAAAATAAAGCATATGATTAAATCAATTTTGTATAATCACAAGACGTATACAATCAGTGTTCAACCACGCTTATCGCCCAAAGAGACTCTGGTCCCTTCTCGGCAGCCATCTTTCCCCGGTCCATGGCCCTCCCCAAGCCTCAGTGGGCACTGAGCTACTTCTGTCTGTAGATCTGCCTGTTCTGGACCTTTTATAGAAATGAAATCATTCCATATACAGGATTGGGTGTCTGCTTTCTTTCATCAGTTAATATTTTCAAGGTTTCTTCATGCTAAACATTAAACAGTACCCCGTTCTTTTTTAGGATGAATAGTAACCACTTTGTTGGCCCATTCATCAACTTGTAAGTATTTGGGTCCCTTCCACTTTTTGACTTTTTTTTTGTTTTTGTTGTTCATGGTGGTGGTGTTAGTTTAACTGGGAATTGAACTCAGGTCCTTAGTACTAAGCTACATCCCAGCTTTATTTTAGATTGTCATTTCTTTTCTTTTTCTTTTTCTTTTTCTTTTTTCTTTCTTTCTTTCTTTCTT